TTAAGAGTCCTCAAAGTATATATTGTTAAATATGTGCTGCACTTACTAAAGAAGAGATAGGAACACTTTCAGAAGGTTTTCAGTAAGTTTGCAGTCTTTTAGCAATCTAGTTAAGAATAAAGGCGGATAAAATTCACCAGGATACAACTTCCAGAATGCTTAATTTACCTTTTTTGTTAGGGGAGGGAAGGGCTATTCCCTAGTACACTGTAGGTTTTTAAAGAAAACTTGCCCTGGTATCAATATGTTGGTAAAGAAAAGGTAAATTAAGTATTTCATGAGAAATGTTCCAGTGAAGGAGATGTAATAGGCTTCTTGCAGGTGTGTAAGTAAGGAGATTTAAGATAAACAGTCATTTCAGGCATGAATTATAGACCTTGAGCAAACATGGAGTTAACCTCCAAAGGTGTGGATCTGACCGTTGTGTAGGCAAATTTGTCATAGAGCAAAAGGCTATTCTTATCCACCACTGTTCACAAGATTTTTTAAAAAATGGTAAGAACATTTGATCCTCTACAAATGTTCTTATAATCTGAGTTATTGCTGCCATTTTACACATCTTACTAGGTGATCCGTGGTAGTTTAGGCTCCCTGGAGAAGATTTTGAAGTGTAGTTGGAAAAGTAGTACTTCACCTTAATTAAGGCATATCCTTGAAAAGATCAAGGAAAGGGCGCCTGGGTGGCTCAGTTGGTTAAGCGACTGCCTTCGGCTCAGGTCATGATCCTGGAGTCCCGGGATCGAGTCCCGCATCGGGCTCCCTGCTTGGCGGGGAGTCTGCTTCTCCCTCTGACCCTCCCCCCTCTCATGTGCTCTCTCTCATTCTCTCTCAAATAAATAAATAAAATCTTTAAAAAAAAAAAAGAAAAGATCAAGGAAAGAAACCTGTTAGCCTAGTTCAATGATTTCTCAGCCTCTTAACTGCATAATTCTATGCACGTTACATGCTGTTTTCTATGGTATACTTGTCATTCTTTTTTATTCCAAAAGTTAATAGCCTTCAATAAATATTTACTTAAATTATGTAAGCTTTTTCACTTTAGAGCTTTATTGCTTATACAATGTTAAAAAAAAAAAAAGGGAACAAAAAGTATTAAGACAAAAAAACAAGTGATAGGTTTGCTTCCTCCATACACCAAATTTGATGCTTTGATAACCTTTTCTCAATTACAAAAAGAAAAGGCTTTGAGTCTTGTGATCTCTTTTGATACAGAAAGTTCCAAAATACACTTTCTCAGATTATATACTGCATGGCAGTATTAGTTGTCTGAAGACTGGATTTCTGTTAATCTCAACCAGGGACCCAGGAGCCAAAAAGACTTCGATCACCTAAAATAGTAGCCTTCAGTAAATCCCTATACAGTTGACCCTTGAATAACATGGCGGTTAGGGGTGCTGATCCCCCTGTGCTGTTGAAAATCCACATAGAACTTTTGACTCCCCCAAAACTTACCTACTAATTAACCAGAAGCCTTACTGATAACACTCAACACATATATGTATATATATATAATTATATACTGTATTTTTATAATGAAGCTGGAGAAAAGAATTACTAAAATCATAAGGACAAGAAAATACAGTACTGTACTATATTAAAAAATAAATCCATGTGTAAGTGTACCCTCGCAGTTCAACCTGTGTTGTTCAAGGTCAACTGTACTTGACTCAGTGGAAAAGGACTAGCATTCAAAAGCCCTTTCCTGAACATTTGACTCTCTTCCTATTTTTATTCTAGGCAAACAGTAGTGAGAAATGGTAGCTGATAGACTGGACATCAAGAAACAAGTGAATACAGAATAAGTAGATCACAAGAACTGAACTGCTTTGTGTAAGGTGTAAGGAGCCTTTGCCCATATAGGTCTGTGTTGACCCTGATTACATCACAGTATCGCAGAATAGTCTCCTATAATAGAAGTTGTGCCTCTTCTAGGCCACTAAAACCACTGAAAACAAGATAATAGAGGCTTCTTGTAAGATACGTGTGTACAGAAGTTGAATCAAGTCCCAGCCAAAACACAATAAATTCTATTCTGGGATTTTATCCATTTATTTTTATATTGTAATTTCAGGCAGCCTTTTTTTTTTTTTTTAAAGATTTTATTTATTTATTAGAGAGAGAGAGAATGAGAGACAGACAGCATGAGAGGGAAGAGGGCAGAGGGAGAAGCAGACCCCCTGCTGAGCAGGGAGCCCGATGTGGGACTCAATCGCGGGACTCCAGGATCATGACCTGAGCCGAAGGCAGTCGCTTAACCAACTGAGCCACCCAGGCGCCCTTTCAGGCAGCCTTCTTAATGAAAGCCTTTGTAAAAGGTATTTCCCAAGTCCTATTTCAAACCACAGTCCTTATCTTCATAGCAAAATGAAAGCTCTTACACTACTACACATTGTATTACTCCCCAGATTTCTGGCATTTGTATTTCTGGTTATATAGAGAGGTTTCTCTGATTTCATTGTCTGTTTTGACCATACATTTTTTTAATGCAGAGCATAGCTTTGAAGTTTGGAGTACAAAAATTTGAATCAAAATCTGCAAATTTTTAAACCTTATTCTCTGATTATCTGCAAAATGTGTATACCATATATACATCATAGGATTGATAGAACTGAGATGTAAATGTCCAGTAAACTTTCTTTCCTCTTTTTGCTTTCTTACATAGTTTTATTTAAAGGATGTCGAATTTCAGCATCTGAACCCCAGAGAAATAAGTTAATTAAGTAACTTAACCTAAGTATAAAAAGACTATAATCCATTTGTGTATTTGTAATAATAAAGAAAAAAGCAAACCACAGCAGACTATTTTAAGGACAAGTCAAATCTTACTTTAGCTTAATGCTCCAAGTCTCAGTGACATTAAAAAGGTAAACACTATACATTTATACATGTTATTTATGGTAATGTTTTCTGTATGACTCAGAGCTGAGATTGTCTTTTGGAAAGGCTTTAACTTTAATTAGAAGTTGAGCCCCCTGCTATGCAACAACCACCTTACCTCTTCATGCATCTTCGGCCAAAAATCTCATTGCCTGTTGCATTTAGTGTAAATACCTCCTTAATGTATCAAGCGGTTCTCAAATGTTATTTGGGTCAGTCTTTTGCATTGCCTGGTAGTTACTTGCAGCAGAGACACTATGGCCTCAACCAAGACCTACTGAATCAGAATTTGTAAGTGATGAGGTGTAAGAAACTACTTACAGTTAAGTCTCCAGTGTTTTAGGGAGCAGCAAGGTTGGGAGACTCAGTTGCTCAAGCCCCTCATCTTCAGTTATTCCTTTTTCCTCACTCTTCACATGCAATCCATCAGCAACTTCACTGCCTTCATCCTGGTGAAAGGTATGCTAGATTACCACGGTCTCTTCTCCAGGACCACTAGTGTAAACTAACTGTCCTTCCCATTAACTCTTTTGTCCTCAATTCAAGCTATTTTCCACCAGCTGCAAAAGCAGCGTTCTTAAAATGTAAATCATAGGGGCGCCTGGGTGGCTCAGTTGGTTGGACGACTGCCTTCGGCTCAGGTCATGATCCTGGAGTCCCGGGATCGAGTCCCGCATCGGGCTCCCTGCTTGGCAGGGAGTCTGCTTCTCCCTCTGACCCTCCCGACCCTCCCCCCTCTCATGCTCTCAAATAAATAAAATCTTTAAAAAAAAATGTAAATCATAAAGGTAAAACAATTACATCTTTTTTTTTTAAGATTTTATTTGACACAGAAAGAGTGAGCCAGAGAGACAAGTGGGGGAAACAGCAGAGGGAGAGGGAGAAGCAGACTCCCCACTGAGCAAGGAGCCTGATGCGGGGCTCGGTCCCAGGACCCTGAGATCGTGACCTGAGCTGAAGGCAGCTGCTTAACTGACTGAGCCACCCAGGTGCCCCAACAATTAGATCATCTTTAAGAGTAACTGCAATGGTTTGAAACAAACTACGTTAAAATTCACTAATTCATAATTACGGCTTAGAACACAACCCCCCCCCCCCCCACCAAATCACCTTGGTTACCTTTGGAGGATGCCAGGAAACCAGTTCCTTATTTTATATACACATCTCTCTCGACTTATAATGGGGTTGCATCCTGATAATCCCCCCAACGCGGAGATCCTTGGATTTAGGAGTATTTTGAGAAGAGGCACCACAGCACCTGACACATGGAGGCACTTAAATCTCCAGTAGTGCTTAGTGTACTTGACGATTATAGCAACTCCTCCACCAGTCCAAATAATTGTAGTTTATCTTCAGAAATCACTTACTTGATACCTCCAAGGTGGCCCTTAACCATTCTTGCCTCCAGGATTCCGTATCCCTGTGTATTCATTCACACCCATATTGAATAGGGCTGACTTGTGTAACCAGGAGGATATTGTGGAAATAAAGAAGGGTGACCTTGAAGGTTAGTTGGGTCATAAAAGCCATTGCAGCTACTGCCCAATTAAACCTCTCAAGTTTCTGGTCATGGTCTTCTCTCCTGGTTGGTTGGTTGGTTGGTTTTCTTCCCCCCAATAGAAAGATTACTCACATTGGTTTTAAAAGGTCACTCTGGATCCTGCCTTTCGCTGGCTTGCCATCCTTGCAACCTAGAATCATCTATACATTTGATAAATATCCTTTACACTTAACATCATTTTAATTCATGGATAAAAACACTAGAAGTCACTGGTTCCAGTACTGATTCTAACAGTCTTGAAAGATTATCAAGTATGACCAGAGACTAACAATGAACCTATGATGATTTTAACATTGTATTTTCTAAAGTCTGAATACTCACTTGATACGGAGATACAATGTGAGAGATTAGATAAATTGGATCTCACTTTCCTCCATCGATCACATCCAACACTGTCACTGGAGAACACTAGACTGAAATACTTCTAGATACCTAGAAACCCATTCCAAGTGTCAAGTTTTACACTGGTTGTTAAAACACTGACATATTCTACAAATTAGGAATAACTGCCTAGTACATTTTTTTCAAGGGGAGTGGGAATCCCTTAATTAGACAACCAAGATATGGCAAGAAGTCTTTATTTTCATACAAGGTGCCACCAGAGAGCACGCTGCTGTTTACAGATGCACAGAACCGAACAAAAGCATTTTAGCATGCTGCCTTACTGTACATAGAAAACGGGCGAACAATTTCAGACACTACAATCAGGAAATAAAATGGGTTAACACCGTTTGTTGATAGGTCTATGAATCACTCAGCAGGGTTACAGGCTGTCTTCACCTGAAAGCAGAATTACAATCACTCCGGCAGTCTCTGGGCAATTCTAAATAAAAGGCAGGTCTGGTGAAAGGTACAACGTGCAAGCGAGAGAGAGAGATACCTTGTCCCGTTCTGAAGGGAGACTGGTTCAGAGCCCGCACTGGCACGTGCTTACAGTCGATACGTATAGCCATCTTAATTAGCTTGAGCTTCCCTTACCACCGCATATGTTGGCCTTCAGCAAAATTAAGAACTTCCAACACATGAGCTGAATAATGAATAAGCCTGGGGTTAAAAAGCAGAATGCTGCCCACATGACAGAACGGCTACTTCACAACTTTTGCCCAGTTCTCCCCTGTTGTCCTGCAAAATCCCCTCATCTGATGAATTCTAGCAAAGCTTCTAGCAAGTGTAACAGGCCTTTCCTAACCCAGATCTAGACACTAAGTATCTGAAACAAGGGCCTGGGAAGTTGATGTGTCCGTGGGAAAATGGCAGTGTTTCTACTGGAGGTAAGTGTCAAGTTTCCTCTTGATGTTGTCAAAGGAATCTGCGCCCATGTAATCAGCCTGGCCCTGTTCCCACCGCTCCTTCCGTTCTTCTGAGGACACAAAAGGCTGTGCTGCAGCCGGGGTCTCCCCGAGGGACAGGTGTGATACGGCTCCTGAGACTCCTTCCTAAAAAGGAGAGCATAATCAGAGACTCCTTGAGAGCTGAAAATCAGACTGTTTTTAAGGAATGCAATAAGTTGAAGGTGAGAAAAGCCAGGATGAATTATCATGCAAAGTAGCAAAAACTGAAAAGTATTACATGAAACAAACAAACAAAAGACACAGAAATACAAGGGTCATATGATTTATTCCTAACGAAATGAAGACTTCTTGACTCAGTGAAAACATCGGGAGAACAAAGTAATTAGGGTTAATGTTTAAGTTCTGCATACCTTTCTACAGAAGCCACAAGAGAAAGCCAGTGTATAGACCAAGTCTGAAAGCTGCAAACAGTTCATTAGAAAGTGTAAGATGGACGGACAAGGGAACAGAGTCTCACGATCCATTCTCGATCTGTGTGGGCTCTGAAAGGTTGAGAACTTAAACAAAATGATACTTCAGAGGCTAAACTTCAGAAAGCACCTAATCAGAGAGCCACACCACATACACAAGTTGTCATGTTATAAAAGCGAGAGCTAAATGGTTTGAGACTATGCACCGAACTTATCTGCCCGTTCAAGCTTATTATCAAGTAGTATCTATTCTCGTAGCTCGTGTTAATTGGCTTAGTCTTGAACAACTGTTTAAATTCCCATCACCTTTCCTTGGTTCATAATTCTCACTCCTTGGGTTGTGGAAGGAACAAGGGAAACGTGCAGGAAATAGAGCAAACCCACTCCACATTAAATTAGAAGCTCATTACTTATAGAAAGGCCATTAACTTCAATTGTACCATAAAAGAATATCAAAGCTATTCTTCAAAAAGCTGAGGTGAGAAGGTACTGGAAATAGTAGAAAAAAAGGAAGGCTAGTGAATGCATACAGATATGCTTTTAACAGAGAAAATGGGAGAACAAAATTTTTTGATTACCAGTTTTTGTTGCTAAATGAGTATATGTGTCTATGTAGGTGTTTAAATATACTGGCACTCCAAGGTATCTGGGCAGATTCCATGGGGTGGTTTCATAGCTGAAGTCCTTACCCTGGATTAGCCCTGCCTTTGCTTCCACTTGCAACAGTAATGATATTGGGATGTTCTTCCAGAATTCTCTGTCTCATGATACTGTTCAGAAGGTAACAGTCTTGCAGACCTAGATTTGAGTCCCAGTTCTGCTTTTGATGAGTATGTTATATAACTAAGAGAAGTTATTTAACTTCTTTAAGCCTCACTTAATTTTAATATATAAAAGGGCATATTAACAATAACACTGACTTGACAAAGTAGTTGTAAGGGTTACATAATAACAAGTAGCTTTCCTTACGCACTATGTGCCAGGCAATGTTCCGAGTACTGTACAAGTATTATTTCATGGTTCATGTAAAGCAATTAAAGTGAGAATGTTAGTGTTATTTTTCCCTTTCTCCATTTTATATATTGGTACAAGTGCTACTAAGTGAAATGGCTAAAGTCTCTACCATGGCAAAGAAAAGGATAACCTTATAGCCTCTTTTAATTATAGCAAGGTAATTAACTGATCAGTTAGACTTGATTGTAATTCACCCACTCAGTTTGATTCTTTATATCTTAATATGTAGCACAGAAGTGTAACTTCTCATCCTCTTTCCAATTCTTCCAAAAGAACCAACCTCAGAGGAAGACATTTAAAGTCAGAAAAGAGGCTAAGCAAGTTGCTGTTGTAAATGTTAATGTCATCTTCCTCTTACAAGATTTCTTTTTTCAAGATTCTATGTAACCGTAAGAGCACGAGCATGGCGAACCAAAATAATCCTAGAAAAGTATCTGTTTTTACAAGTGTTTGTTTTCACATGTTATTAAAATGTTCACTGGAAATACATTCTTCTAAGCAGATGGAAAAAATAAATATGTATATTTAAATGTTTGTAGTTTCTAACACATGAAATAAGTCATTCTTTATACTTTAGGAATAATCTCAGAATCTTAGGACAATGGGCTAAGAATACTATACATACTAGATATGGACATATATGCATGTGTGTGCCCTACACACACACACACACACACACACACCTCTAAAGTCCTTTCTTATGCTCCCAGATCGAATGAAATCTGCCACAGAATCTACTGCTTTTAGCCTTTGCTGGCACTATTCCTTCCCTGTACGATGGGCATTTTTTTTTTCTACAAATCTGATTGATCTCTGTTTAAAGTACCACTAAACACTACCTCTACCAGTATACCAAGGTTTTAAAAAATACAGCATTAAATTACCTGAAAGAAAAAACAGAACCTACCACATTCAGGCATGAGTGGGTGTCTTTGACAAGGCCAAATTGTTGAAGCAGAGGTAACACGTTGGTGGTGAAGATGTCCCACCACAGGTTGAGAAACTCTGGATGAGTCATGGTGGGATCATGGGACTCACTTTTGACACTTTTTGTGTTAGGATCATAAGTATAATTCCATGGTTTGATTCGTCCCAGGAAATGCACAACTTTGGCATTTGCCCCAAATCTGCCAAGAGAACACAAAGTTGAAACCATTAGTGGACTCTGAGCACTTTGTTCGGTAGCCTTAACGATGCACCTTCCACTGGAAGTAGTGGTTGGAAAAGAACTTGAGCTCACTGAAAAAAGTTTTGCATAGATTTTTGAAATTATTCAGTTGTATGTTAAATACATACAAAAATCCAAAAGTAGCAGTGGGTTAGGGCAACAACCAAAACACCAATCCACTGTGGTTGGAAAGGTACAACCACTTGGAAAACCATTCGGTATTACCTAGTGACACTGAAAATGCTCACACCTCTGACCTGGAAGCTCAGCTCCTCGGCACAGACCCGAGAGAAGCTCTTACCTACATGCAGATGTCATCAAAATGTTCATAGCAGCGGTGCTGTTTGAAACAGTCATAACTAAAAACCATCCATATGACCATATCTTAGTAGGTTAAGCCTGTTCAGCAAGTGTTCACTCCTTTTCCCAATCTCCACAGGGGGAATACACTTTCCTACCTCACTGATAATTGGGCATGCTCACAGAACTTGCCTTTGCAAGGAAATGTGGGAGGAAGTAACAGCGTGTCAGAAAGAAAGAAGGGAAAGAAAGAAGGGAAAGGGAAGGAAGGAAGGAAGGAAAAAGAAAAGAAAGAGAAAGAAAGAAAGAAAGAAAGAAAGAAGAGAGAGAGAGAGAGAGAGAGAGAGAGAGAGAAAGAAAGAAAGAAAGAAAGAAAGAAAGAAAGAAAGAAAGAAAGAAAGAAGGAAAGAAAGAAAGAAAGAAAGAAAGAAAGAAAGAAAGGAAAAGAAAGAAAGAAAGAAAGAAGGAAAGAAAGAAAGAAAGAAGGGAAAAAAAGAAGAAAGGAAAGAAGGGAAAGAAAATGAAAGAAAAGAAAAAGAAGGAAAAATAAAGGAAAGAAAGAAGGGAAAGAAAGAAAGGGAAAGGAAAAAAGAGAAGGAAAAAAGTGAGGGAGAGAGAGAGAAAGAGAAAGAAAGAAAAGAAAAAGAAAGAAAGAAAGAAAGAAAGAAAGAAAGAAAGAAAGAAGGAAAGAAAGAAAGAAAGAAAGAAAGAAAGAAGGGAAAAAAGGAAAGAAAGGAAAGAAAATGAAAGAAAAGAAAAAGAAGGAAAAATAAAGGAAAGAAGGGAAAGAAAGAAAGGGAAAGAAGGAAAAAGAAGAGAAGGAAAAAAGTGAGGGAGAGAGAGAGAAAGAAAGAGAAAGAAAGAAAGAAAGAAAAAGCAAGCAGGCCTGCTTGTTTCTGGTCCCTCTCTCTGAGAGACCTGTCAGCAGAAGGATGGATGAGACCCACAGAGCAGATGTGGATCAAAGCTGTAGCTCCAAACCCTGCTGAGATTATCAGAGCTGCTCCAGCCTAGCCACCAACATATGAATAAGAAATATATACTTACTATTGAATGTCACTGAGATTTTATAGTTATTTGTCTATTTTATCATTTTTAAAGGACAACTTCTGGTATATTCAGATCATGGAATACAATATAGCAGTGAAAATAAAATGGTAGCTACACACACAACATGCAGCAAATGGATGACTTTTTTAAACATGCTGAAAATTTTCAAATAGAAATTCATACATAAGAATCCATTTACATGGGGCAAAACAAAAAAAAAGTACTATTTAAAGAGTAGAAAACTGGGGATGCCTGGGTGGTTCAGTGGGTTGGACCCAGGTGGTTCAGGGCCCTGGGATCAAGCCCCACATTGGGCTCCCTGCTCAGTGGGGAGTCTGCTTCTCCCTTTCTCTCCCTCTGCTTCTCCCTCTGCTCATGCTCTAATACACAAATAAAATCTTAAAAAAAATAAAGAGTAGAAAACTATAATCAATGTCAGTGTCATGATGTTGGTTATCTCTGGAGGAAAGGGGAAGCCGTGATGGGGAAGGGACAGACAGCTTGTAAGGTACTGGTTGTGTTCCATTTCTTGGATTTAAAAAAAAAAAAAAAGCACATTTTTTATATCTACCCTTTTGTATATATACTATATTTCATAATAATTTCTTAAAAAAAAAGAATTAAGAGTGGTCATTTTCTGGCTGGAAGGAAATCTATGTACATAAAACCAAAAAATAAAGGTGAATAATACAACAAGTGCCAAAAGAAATATGGGAACAGCGGGGGCTCCGGGAATGCAGAGGCAGGGTGGTCATGAAAGGTAGGTTTCGTGGAGCAGAGACTTAAAGCTTGTGCAACAGACAGGAGCTGGGAAGCTGGTGATACAGAGAATTCTAGGCAGGGGAGAGCAAGTATCAGGTGAGTGTGAGTTAGACCGAGGGTACTCCCACTGCAGCCAAAGAGGAAACTCTGATAGGGAAAGGAAAAATGGGATGGTTCCTTGGGTGTTGGGTTCAAGTGTTAGATTTTAGTGGATTTATCCTATAGGCAACCAAAGTTGCTGAGCATGATGTGCAGACTGAAATAATGCAAACTCTATTCATGTAAGCTTTCCAATCTTGTGAAGTTTTTTTTTTTTTTTTTTTTTTTTTTTAAATGCCAGAGACCTATTACATAGCTATCATTGTCTAAGGGTTTTCCATGTTTGGGGCCTAAACTTTTTTTTTTTTAAGGTTTTTTTTTTTTTTTTTTTTTTTTTTTTTTCATTTGTCAGCGAGAAAGAGCGAGTGAGAGAGCATGCACAAGCCGGGGGAGAGGGAGAGAGAAAGGGAGAAGCAGACTTCCCGCTGAGTAGGGAGCCCGATGCGGGACTTGATCATGACCTGAGAAGAAGGCAGATGCTTAACTGACTGAGCCACCCAGGCATCCTGGGCCCAAACTTTTTATTTAAAGGACATGACTGGGAATAATAACACTCTGGCAAAGGTAGATCTTACTAACATGTTAATGGAGGCTCCTAGAGGTCAGGGAGTCAGCCAGAGCCATATAGCTATTAGGTGGCAGAAAAGGGATTTGGCACAGTTCTGCCTCTCTCTTAAGCCTGCACTCTTACCAATCCTACCATGCTGCCACTCCAAAACTATGCAAGAAAAATAGAGCCTACTGTAAATGTCCTCCTAAGAGTAATGGACTATACCACAGCGCCTTTCTTCTGAAAATGAGACGGATACTGGAAATCCCCAAGCTGATTCTTCATTTCATATTTTGCACTCACGCACATGTGCGCACACACACATGCACACAAGTACTCTCAATTTTATCCTTAAAAGGATAATGCTCAAAACTTGTGCAGACATGGCTATTAATTAAATAAGCAACTGTTACATAGGGTCAGTGCAGGACCCCAAAAGGTTTTCACCCAAACAGGGAAAGGAGTCCTCTAACATAAAAATAAGGAAGAGCAGCACAAACAAGGCAACGAGTCAGGGCTACCAGGGCAATGCGGACACGAGGGGCTATGGAAACACCAAAGCGATCAATGCAGGCGCGGATTTTCAGAAGGGGCTTTGTGTGGGAAGGGGGCCCAGAGAAGACCTGGGAAAGATGGCGGGGTGAAGGTAACAGCCTTCGACAAACGTCCTCGTGGTGACGGGGGGCGGGGGGGACCTGTACCAGAGACCAGACACTTGTGTGTGTTTTGGGGGGCAGCAGGCACTACCTATAGCCTGTGATACAAACACGCCCACGACCAGAAGACAGCACTGGCTTCCCACGTTCTCAGACCTCCTCCTCCTGACTCATCTTGCCTGGAGCAAGACTCCTTGTTTGCTCCTCCTAGAATAAAACTGGCCGCTAAGTTTCCGTCTGTGATTTGGCCTAGACCTAATATGAATGTCCTACAGTCATTATAGGAGAGGTAACAGTACTAATTAAAATAAAGTAAAACGTGAATATAGCATAAACTCTATTCCTTTCGAACCTGCTTCCCGACAGTTTGCACACGATTAAACAGGAGTCGCAGGAGTAGCTACCATCTATTGAGTACTTACATGTACCAGACACTGGCTAACAATTGCATGGTTTATATACCAGTTAATCTCCAAAACAAGTACGTGAGGAAACCAAGGCATGAAGTAGTTCAGTAACTTGTCTAGGACCACGGCTGGTGAGTGACAGGGCTGGGATTCCACGGAGGCAGTCTGGTTCCAGAGCCAAGGTTCTTAACCCCAACTAGGCTGTTCCTGAAAGACACTCCCAGAATCAGAAGGACATCATCTGAGAGTGACATCTGTTACTTCAGAGATGGATGCCCTGCCTACAGAGGGTCAATCTGAAAAGTGGAAAGGATGTGTCTAAGGAGCCCTGGAAATACTCCAAATATAGTCAAGGACAGAGCAAGAAAGTAACCAATAGGAAAGAAAGCTACAAAGCAAGCAATTTAGCACTGCCTAAGAAAGACTGTTCTCAGAAGGGTTCAGTTTGCACAAAGGTAGGGGAAAGGTGGGGAGAAGAAGAAATGGATGGTGGTGCGTAGGACCGGCAGCTGACCCCTACGTGGACCGCGCTCGACCGTGTCTAAGGGCCACCCCAGCTCCTCTCCAGCACCCCACTCCGTGAATTGGGACTTTAGAGCTCGGGGAAGCAGAGGAAGGGCACGATGGTCCAGCGCACTGCAGAGCTGCTAACACGGCCCAGCGAGACAGAGCGCTCTGCCTCTGCTGGCGGCAGGAGTACACACTCCGGCCTCTGGGTCTGGCTGTGCCCCACGGCGGTCAGGGGTCTCTGCAACCTCCGGTCAGAGGCCACCCCACGTGGCTCAGTGCCTTCCCCTCGCACGTCAACAGAAACACCATCTGGGGACAGTCCACCGCCTGCACTGCACTGTGGCTCAGGCCTGGGCTGCACCTTCGGGAAGCCACGATCCCTGAGTGTCTCCGTATCTACATCACTGATGCCCTCTGTGGCTAGAGGAAGGATCCTTCCTCCTCAAGATTACCTTCTTGACCTATTCCAACGTAACACCAAGAAAAACTGTATCCACTGGATAGTCCTTTCACAGACAGGGCAGTCCTAGTTTGAAGAAAGTCCTTGATAAGCCTGTTTGAGGCAGAAATGGAGATCATAAGGGGTCCTAAATGTGGATGGAACTGCCCTTTGTGCCTGAAGTCG